GTTTTTCCAGATCCTGGAGGTGTGAGGTTAGTTCCTGTATTTGGCGTCTTTCTTGGGCCTTGACATGCGCTCCGATTGCGATGAATCTACCTCGTAGCACTGCTTTGGCGGTGTCCCACAAGTTTTGGAATGTTGTATCAGAGTTTTCATTGGTTTCCATAAATTTTTTGATCTCATCTTTGATTTCTTCTCTGACCCAATGTTCGTTTAATAGCATATTGTTCAATTTCCAAGAGTGCGTATACTTCTTGGGGAGTTTTGAGTTGTTGATTTCCAGTTTCATCCCATGGTGGTCTGAGAGGGTACATGGTATGATACTAATGTTTTGGAAGTTGTTTAGATTCGCTTTATGTCCTATCATGTGGTCGATTCTGGAGAAGGTGCCATGCACCGCTGAGAAGAATGTATAGTCTGTGGCCTTAGGATAAAAAGTTCTATATATGTCTACTAAGTCCAGTTGTTCTATTGTTTGTGTGAGCTCTGTTGTTTCTTTGTTGAGTTTTTGTTTCGTAGACCGGTCCATTGTTGTTAGAGGTGTGTTGAGATCGCCTACAAGAATTGTGCGGGTGTCTATGTCTTCCCTTAAGTCTGTAAGTAATTGCTTTACGTAACTAGGTGCATTAAGATTCGGTGCATAAACATTAATGATGGTGATTGCTTCTTGATGGATCATTCCTTTCACCAGTATAAAATGGCCTTCCCTGTCTCTTTTGATGTTAGTTAGAATGAAATCTATCTCGTCTGAAATTAGGATAGCTACCCCAGCTTTTTTTTCTCGTCCATTAGCGTGAAATATCTTTTTCCATCCCTTCACTTTCAGTTTCTTTGCATCCTTTCTGGTTAGATGCGTTTCTTGTAGGCAACAGATGGTTGGGTCTTGTTTGATGATCCATTCTATTAATCTCTGTCTTTTGATTGGTGAATTTAGACCATTTGTGTTGAGAGTTAAAATTGAGAGGTTGCAATTTTGCCCTGCCATGTGTTTGTGTTGTGTATGTGTTGTTGCCTATGTAGTTGTCTTGTTTGTGCGGCCTTTAGTTTGGAGACCTTCTTATTTGCCAACTTTGTTTGTGATTTGCCTCCTTTTTGTCCGGGACTAGCGCATTTCTAAGGAGACTTTGCAGGGCTGGTTTTGTGTAGACATATTCTTCTAGTTTTTCTTTGCTATTGAAGTATCTGATTTCGTTCTCAAATACAAATGAGATCTTTGCTGGGTAGATTATTTTTGGTTGACAGTTGTTTTGTTTCAGGACTTGGAAGATCTTTGTCCATTCTCTCCTTGCTTGTAGGGTCTCTTCGGAGAAGTCAGCAGTAATTCTGATGGGTTTTCCCCTGTATGTGATCTTTTCTCTACTTCGTACTTGTCTCAGGATTCCTTCTTTGTCTTCATTGGAGTAGAACTTGAGCACCGTGTGTCTGGGTGAAGATCTCTTTGGATCATGTCTGTTGGGAGTTCTCTGTCCATCCTGTATGCGGGGTGGATTCGTGTTCCAAGTGTTTTGGAAGTTTTCCTGTATAATTTCATCAAGCACTGCTTGCATCCCAGATTCTCTTTCTACTCCCTCGGGGAGGCCGATGATCCGAATATTCAATTTTCTAAGGTAATCCTTCATCTCTTGCATCATTTTATTAGTTTTGCTGAGGTTTGTCTCTAGCTGTTTAATTCGCTGGGCACTTTCATTTTGTGTGTCTTCTGTTTCAGAGATCCTTTCCTCTGCCGCATTTATTCTGTTGATGAGGCTTTCAATTTTATTCTCTTGGGCATCCAGTTTGGTTTTGATTTGTTGTATTTCGGTGATTATGCGGTTCTGGTAGTCTTCCAGCTTTGTGTCCACGTCTCTGAGAAATTTTAGCATTATTTTCATCAATTCCTTTGCTGGTAACACGTCCATGTCTTCATCTCGCATCGCCGATATTGATAATGGCTTTTGGCCCATGTTTGGTGGGGTGCTGGCTCTTTCATCTGGAGCACAGCTCTTTCTAGTGGTTTTTCCCATTGCGTTGGTGTATTCTGGTAAGGCAAATGGACCCGTGTGTTGAGGGGCTGTCAGGTGCTTTCCTGTAGAGATTGGAGCCTGCAAGCGTGGTGTTGCCGGGCGTGGTAATTTTCAAGGCACCGTTGGTGCGTTCTCAGGGCCCGGGGCTGTAGAGCACCACCTTGGGGGCCCAGTGGATTCCAGGCACACTCTGGGCACCTCTTCTACAGGTGTGCCACCGCAGGGCGTGGAGGGATGGAGGCGCTCTCTGGGCGCGCCCCCTGCACGGGAATCCACAGGACGTAGAAGGTTTTATGTGCTTTCTCCCTGCGTTCTCCTTGTCAGGGACTGCAGGGTTTTTCAGAGCCCGCCTGGTGTGTCTCCCACACACAAGACTGTGGTTGAGGCACTTTCTGGGCGTGGCTCTTGTGCAGTGATTCCACCACTCGTGGTGTGTGTGTGGCTCCTCCTCACAGGACCGTAGAGGAGGTGTGACCCAGGCGCCCTGTTAAAATAACTTCTCAGCGGGATCGCACAGTGCCAGTGTGGCACAGGAGATTTCAGAGCTCTCCCGGTGTGTCGCCTACACTCAGGACTGCGGGGTGGGAGGCGAGGAATGGACAGTTCACACTATGGGAGTGGCATCTGCGTGTCAGGGACACACAGCGCTACACTTCCCAGTTCAGCACCCTCCTGACTCCTGCGCTACGGAGGCGGCTGCTGCAGGCGGGACCGCCTAGCCCAGCCCGGCGCGGCGCTCAGAGTCCTCCTGGTGCTGTCGCCCACCCACAGGGTTTCAGGGTGTCGGGGATTCCAGACTCCCACCAGCAGCCTCCGCGCGCTGAGATGCACTGGCCCACTTAGCGCAGGAAGATCTGAGGCGCTTTCCCGGGACCTTTTCAGCCACCAACACGCACCGCTGTTCCCAAGGCACAGACCTGACAGTTTCAGGTTGCGCCCCTTGTGTTCTCAGAGGCTGGAGCCTCAGCAGGGGGTGGGGAATGCGGAGGCTGCCACGTTAATCCCCAGCTCACCAAAGTCCGGCTGCTGCAGTCTGCTTCTGCTGTTGTTGAAGAATTCCGCCGGCGACGATCCCTCCGATTTCCCTGTCTCCAAGCTGGCCGCGTCTCCCGTCAGGCCGCTCTCAAAGGTGACTCAGCAGGTCTGGAGTGGGATGTCGGCTTCTCTACCTTTGCCCTGCTCCGTTCTCGTTGTTCTTCCGAGTTGTGTGGAACTTTTTGGCTCCACACTGTCCCAGGGAGTTTCACGGACCTCTCCCTACGGTTTCCTGCCGCTCCTCTTCGCTGCCTCTGCAGCACTCTAACCTTCTCTCACTGAACTCTCCCTCATAGCCTTTCTCCTACGTCGGCCATCTTCCCTTTATCACTGCATTCTTTATTGTCATATTTATAGTATGTATTATTATCCTAAATATTGCTATCCATTATTAAGGGAAAAAATAATAATCACAAGGGGTTAAGCATTTGGACTATCAGTCAAGAATCTTGCATCCTGTAGTGGGGAACCTGTGTTCAAATCTCAGTGCGAACTCCCATGATCAGCTTCCTTTCATTGCAGATCTGGGAAACAGCAGTGATGGCACCTTGGGAGATCTGGATTGAGTTTATGCTTCTAAGCTTGGCTTGGCCCAGCACCAGCTTTTGCAGGCATTTGAGTGAATCAATGGACGAGAGCTTATTATCTCTGTCTCTCCTCCCTCACCCACCTCTACCTTTCTTCTTTTTCATTTGCCTCTCTGCATCTCAATAAATAAATAAATAAATATATAAAAAATGAAGAAAGTCAAAATTTCAGAGTTTTTACTGGGCATTGTGGCACAGCATGTACAGCTACTATTTCTAATACATCCATCATGTTTGGAAATGCAGGTCAACTCCCAGCTGTTCTGTTTCTGACCGAGCTTCTTGGTAATGTCCCCAGGAAAGAAGTGTGTGATGGCTGTGTTTGGGAGATTATGGTGAAGTTCATGAGTTGGATTTCTCTTGGCAGTTGCAACCGGTTGGAGACTGAACCAAAGGATACAAAATCTCCCTCTCTATCTTTCTCCATCAAACTTTCAAACAAGCAAAAACAAAGCAAAAACCACAAATAAACAACTAAATATTATTTAAATATTTCAGGCCTTGATATGAAGTTCACAAGATCTCTTTGACAGATCTTAAAGAAATCTTCAACAAATGAGATGGTTATACTATAAGGTAGTTTTTCTCATTTAAAAAGGAGCACAATTGAAGAGCAGTATCTCAGAGCAGTATCAAGTCTTACGTAAAAGCTCGAGATTTCACAGAAAAGGAGTAAGACCTGAGGCTTACATTTGCAACCTGTAGTTGGTGCACTCCTCCTTCCTATAACATTCTTATCTGCAGAACACAAATCTCTAATTACAGCAGGTGATCCTGAACGTAACTTTCCTGCTAAGATTCCCTCACCCATGGTTTCTAGCTCATACGTAATATTAATGATCCATTACAGTTCAACTGAAGAAATGCTAACAGTGCTTTAAAAATAAAAAGATAAGTCATCAAAAGCACACGGGTAATATGAAAGCAGGCACCAGGACAGACAATATGCCTAGAAACAAAAATTTGGAGTGCAGGAAAAATGTGTGAAATAGTGGACACATTATATATGCTAAAGATATATTCACGTAAAGTTATTCACATATGTACTTATTTTGAGATTAAATACTTACATCCATATCTCTTGGCATGCCTAATTTTATTTTTCGTAAAACTGTTTTAATTTCAGAATACTAAAATATATGCAGGTAATAGGCAAGAAAGAATGGCTTAAATCAATCAAATTGCATAGTGATCAAAAAATATAAGTCAATATGTTGGATAAGTTTGACTCAAAATACAGATAGGATTTCTAAAAAACAATCTCAAAGTCATTGGCATGATCATTTTAATCGGTTTCTCTGGATGCATCAATTTCACACTAAAAATATGAACATTGTGAAATAGAAAGATGTGCATGAGGTTCTGTGAACGTCCCACTTACCCGTACTTGGCCCACAAAGGCATTGGCTTCTTCCTCTACCACAGACAGGTTTCTAGGCAGGTAGGGATCAAACACTGGGGCGTTATCATTGACGTCGGTCACCACCACGTTGACTGTGGCAGTGGAGGTCTTCAAGAAAACAGAAAGGAGAAAATATAAGAGCAGCTATTTTGGCTCTCAATTCAGTTAAGGGGTCATGCTACAATGAATTTAAATAGAAAATGTTTTATTACTACTACTCACTTTTTCTAGAAATAAACAAACAAAAACTAGTTTCTGATTTTCAAGTATCTCATAAAAACAGATGGGAAAACCTAATGATGCTATTAAAGGCCAAATATTCTTTTAAAAATTGTCAATTATGTACTGCAGGTTTAATTTTCAGAAAATTATTTTACCTTTAACTTGTTCACACTTCATGAATGGTAAATTCGTCTTTTTATACTCATGAACCCCTATAATTCTGAAACGTGGCAAGTCTAATTTTTACCAATTACATTTTTACTGTTTAAAGTCAAACTTGTACATTACAAAATCGCATGATGGATCAGATGGATTTTTCAGGTAAATTATCACTCTCAGAAAATAATGCCTCCTTTATTTCCTGGGTCTACATCTACACCAGGAGTCTGAGCATCACATACTGGTTGTGTAACAATGCGTCTAATGGAAACATAAGCAGGTAAGTCTAACAAGATCACCTAGAGAAAAGGCACATCCCTGGGCTGATGCAACCAGGACACATAACACAGGTCAATGACCTTCACACATTCAAGACAAAGCTTTATGAATGATTCAAATTGCTAATTGTTCCGCTAAGTAACGTAAAGATAAGGAACCTGGCCTCTTAGTAGCTCTTCCATAGTTGGGAAGATCAAACAATATGGGGAGAAAATAGAATGAAAAAACAAGCTTACTAACTTGGGAAATAAAAAATTCAATATGCTGGCATGGCTGTTGACAAAAGTAACTAAGGCTCTACTTGTGATATTCTTTTGCCACACAGAATGCCTGGTTTGAGTTTCAGATGCTCCACTTTGGATTTAGGCTACTGCTAAGGTGTGCTCTCAGATGCAGTGGGTGAGTGGATGACAGCTCAGGAGCTTAGGTCTCTGCCCCCAAGGACAGAGACCCAGATGGAGTTCCTGCTTCCGTGCTCTGGCCTGCTGCATCCTGCTGTGCTATAAACATTTAGGAGTGAACCAGAGAACAGAAAAACAATTTCTGTCTCTGTCTTTAAAATAATTTTTTTTAAAAAAATAGGTGTAGGAGGCAGCATGATAGCCTAGTGGCAAAATCCTCATCTTACATGCACAGAGATCCCATATGGGTGCCGGATTGTATTCCACTACTCCACTTCCTATCCTGCTCCCTGCTTGTAGCCTAGGAAAGCAGTCAAGGATGGTTCAAAGCCTTGGGTCCCTGCACCCATTTGGGAGACCAAGAAGAAGCTCCCGGCTCCTGGCTGTGGATCAACTTCAGCTGCCATTATGGCCACTTGGGCAGCGAATCAGTGGACAGAATACCTTTCTGTTTTTCCTTCTGTGTAAGTATGCTTTTTCCAATAAAGATAAATAAATCTTAAAAGATAATAAATTTTTAAAAAATCAATCCAGTATGTTCTGACTTTGTAACATACAAATGGAAGGTAAGAGAGATACATAGTATGAACTGGAGACAATTTCTTAAATTTTGTTTAAAAAAACACAATTTTGAAAGTGATTTAGAGTTAAAACACCAAAAACCTGAATAAAAAATTGTCACTGACAGTGACTGACTCTTCAGAAGTTTTCCAAGAAATCTGGTGCAGAGGCATCAGAAAATGGGTTTCCTTAGCAAAAGAAGAGCTTTTGTTTTCACCAAAATTATCTACTTTACAGGCATTCTGCAAAGGGACTTGATCGGGCTTCACACAAATTTAGAGCCAGCATTAAAATCCTGATAGAATTAAGCTGAGCTTTCTTCCATTTCTTTCCTGCTTTCCTGCTTTCCTTTTCTTTCTTTCTTTCTCGTTCTCTTTTTCTTTCCTTCCTTCCTTCCCTTCTTTTTTTCCCTCTTTTTCTTTTTCTTTTTCTCTTTGTTTAATAAGAGCCAAAGCAAAATTTTCCAGCAGTCTGATTTTAGCCTATCAATTTTTTCATATACAATGTCCAGCAGTTTTCAAAAATTTTTGCACACCAGGGTTCTCTTGGCTATTGAAAATAATTTATCTCTTTATCTACACAACACTTAACTATTTTTGGATTATCCTTAGAAAATTTATATAATACTACATACACAATTTGTAGATACTTTTCATATTTAAGGTTCAATATAGATGTTATTATTTAGTTATATAAAAAGGTGACCAGAACAGCATTTAATAGTCCAAACATGAAAAAAAAGCTACACAAAAGTCCATCAACTGTATATGCCGGTGTACATTGAGCTTTATGTATGCAGAGGACTAAAAAGCAACATCAAAGAAATATACTGCTATAGCAGACATACAAATGGATTTCAGGAATATAACATTGGGTGACAGAAGCAAAACTCCAAAGAGTATATATTCTATGATTCGATCTATTTGAGCCTCAAATAGCCATAATCTTTGCACGTTGACAGAAATCGGGATAAGCATCACCTTATCACTTGAAAAGGACTTAAATGAAGCCTTTCCGTCTAGCATTGAATCTCACTTAGTCATACTGTCTAATTTTTAGCTGGAACAAAAGGAACTTCTGAAAGAACTGTGTGCACCAGAGGACAAAAGAAATGATCACAAGCCAGAAACGCCTGTAACCTTGAACACCAAGCAGCAGATGGAGTCTCAGTGCACTCTCCTTCCTTCCTCCCTCTGGACACCAACATCAGGAGCAAGCTTCACTGGCCTTCATGCCATCTTTGCTGAGGTCAAACAGAAACTCCCATCCAGAAATGTTTCAACATGCCAAGTCTACACAGAAGATCAACACCCATCGTGACGACACATCACAAGCATATAGACACTGAGGATCGGCCACCTTCCTCCATCCCCCACACCTACAATGTATAAAAGCCCAGTGCTGTATACCCTGGGTGGTCATTTCCCACATGAGTCACCTGCCGTGTGGAAGCGGCCCTAGGCTGTCTTCCACCAGGGAGCAGTCCATTAGAAACTCTCTCTTCTCTCTCTCTCTTTTCCTACCACCTATCTCTCTACTACATTTTCTCTCCATGGCCATCTCCCTTGCTGAAATGAAAACCTGTGTAGCTTAATCATCTGGCATTTTTAGGTTTGTGGTGATAAAAGCTAACCGAAATGCTTTCAATATTCTGTACAATTCAGTTTCCTATTATTGTATTCTAAATTTTACTATCAAGCTTCACAAGGAATATTGGTTTTCAGGTTTTTGTTTTTCTCTGAGTTATTGATTTTGGCTCCAGGATAATGCTGGCCTACAGTAACTTTTTATTCATTTTCCTCTCTTCGGAGAACTTTGAAAAACCTTTGTTATGCTTTAGACGTTTAGAATGATTGCCTGGTAAAGCTAAATAGTTGACGGCTTTTCTTTGCTGGGAAATGTTTGTTTAATGTCTTCACAAGTTATAGGTCTTTTCAGCTATCCTGTTTGATTAATTCAGTGCTGGTAGGTTCTGTGTATCTAAGAATTTGTACATTTCATCTGGTTTACCAACTTTGTTGCCATGTATTTGCTCACAATACTCTCTTGTAATCTATTTGTTTCTGAAAATTTGACAGTAATATTCTCCACTTTCATTTATGGTTTTATTAGTTTGAGTCCCTTCTGTTTTTTTTTCCTAGATCATCCTGATAATGTTTCATAAACTCAATGGATATTTTGCAAGCAAAATCTGGTTTCATTGATTTTCTCCACTGTCTCTCTGACCTTTATCTTGTTTATTTCTGCCTTACTCATTACTTCTTCATTCCTTCCACTAACTGTATTTCATTTGTTCTTCAAATTCCATCAGCTGTAATTGTGGGTAGCTGATGTAAAATAGCAATATTTAATTTCCCCCCCAACACGGTCTTTTCTATGTTTGGAAACATTATTTTCATTTCCATTAACCACTGAGAGTAATATTATTTCTTTGATGAGTTCTTCCCTCATATATGGATGGTTTTCATAGTATGTTACTTCATGTGTCATAGACATGCATGTTTTTACCTTTCTGCTTACAGCTCATACTACTGATTTTAATGTCATCTTATTATGGTTAAGACAGTTTGTTTATATGCTATGTTATCTTTTTCATTCAACTGAGATTTAACTTTTAGCCTTCCAAATTCTGTCTTGGAAAATGTCCAATGTGCATGTGACAGGAAATTATATTCTGTTTAGAGAATATTCTGTATATGTCTATTAGAATGTGTTTGCTTACTATGTTGTTCAAATACTCTATTTTCATATAATTTAGTTTGAAGATTCTATACATTTTTGAGAAAGAGGTAGTAAAGTGCACAATTCTTATTGTTGAACTGAGTGACCTGAGTCACTATTTTACATTACAAATTTTGATGGTCAGTTCTTACAGCTTACTGATACATTACACTTGTGTTAATATATAGCATACTTCTTAGTCTCTGAGATGTTGGCATTTAAAGTTTATCATGTTTGCTATTGGTAAATTCAACACTGTTTTCATTGTTTACAGTTCTCACAATTCATCCCTTTCCATCTTTTAAAACATAATACGTTTTCTTCTTTCGATCTAAAGTATGTCTTTACCATACAGTTGAGTGATGTACTTTTATCCACATGACAGATTTCTACCTCTTATTGCATAGTTTAATACACTTACATTAAAACATTTTCTGATAAGGAAGAATATACTTTTGCCCTTTGGTCATGCTTTCATAATACCTGTTCAGTTTACCTTTTTTTTTTAATATTTTTACTGGAGAGGCATATATACAGAAAGAAGGAGATACAGAGAGAAGCCACAACAGTCAGAACTGAGCCAATCTGAAATCAGGAGCCAAGAGTCTCCTCCAGGTCTTCCATGTGGGTGCAGGGTCTCAAGGTTTTGGGCTGTTGACTGCTTTTCCAGGCCACAAGCAGGGAGTTGGATGGGAAGTGGAGCTGCTGGGATTAGAACCAGCGCCCATATGGGATCCTGGTGCGAGTAAGGTGAGGACCTTAGTCACTAGGTTACTGTGCCAGGCCCTCAGTGTTTTATACGCCAACTGCCACCAAATGCAAATGTTATTCTTCTTAATGGATCCCATAGTTGCCTAAAATTTGTGCACTTTTCTTTGCTTGTTCACTTTTGCTTAATCGCTTATCTTTAATCATTTTTATTTTTGTTTTAAGATGTAGTTTCTGTAATCCTAATTTTTTGTTTGTTGATTTTATAGTTAATTGTGTATTTCATAAATTATACTTCCAAGCCACTGATACACTGATTTTTTTCTCTTTAATTTTTTTAAGTCTTTAATTGCATTCTACTCACTATTCATTTTCCTGATTGTCTCCACATAGTCCTTCACTTCCTTCAGTTAACAGAAGCCAATTGTTTTAAAACAGATGCACCACTGGTGACAGCTTTGTGGGACCAGGAGGTAAGATGGACACCACCAACACTTGTATCCCATAGGGGTACAGGTTGGTGTTCCTGCTGCTCTACTTTCAATCCAGCTCCTTGCTAATGACCTCGGAAAGCAGTTAAAGATGGCCCATATCCATGGGCCACTACCCACATGGCAGCCCAGGAAGAGACTCCTGGGTACTTGCTTAGTTCTGCCCCACCCTTAGCCAGTACTGCTATTTTGGGAGTGACTAAGCAGATGGGAGATTTGTCTGTGTCACTTCCTTTGACTCTCTCTGTTCTTCTCTTATTCTGTAACAATGGCTTTCAAACAAATAATTGTTTAAAATAGAAATAAATACATTTTTAAACACACAACACAGAACCACATAAATAGAACACCATCAGGTTTCTTCTCTCTCCGGAAGCAGTTTTCTTTCTCCACCCTTTAAAATGGGCCATTCAATTCCGCATTTGTGTATCTTAAAATTTATCGTTGTTGAAAATTGGACATTCAGAATTCATTGTGTAGCAACTCCCCCACCCCCCCCGCCCCGCCAAAAATCAAGTTCTTCTGTCCTCAGTGTTTGATGATATTTTTGCTTGTTATTTTGTCCTTGGATTGTTATTCACCATCTCTTTATTGAGGATCAGCCTGAAATGTTAACTTAAGATTTATCTCCCAGAGTATATGCTTTAACCTTGTATTTCCCTCCATAGATGTGTTAGCTTTACACTGCATTTATTTTCAATATCTCTCTCCAAAAGTAAAGAAAATAAATTTAAAGAAAAAGAAAAATGCAAAAAGGGTATTGGCTCTTTAAGTTCCTTGGAAGTTGAGTGAGAGGGAGATAGGAAGAGACATGGAGAAAGGGGGGTATGTAGGGAGGCAGGGAAAGAAGGAGGGAAGGAGAAAGGGAGGGAGGGACGGAGGGAGGAGCAGAGGGAGGCAGGAAGGGAAAGAGAGGAGGATGGGAATCCAGAGCAAGTATGCTAAGGACTCTAATAATGGGAAACCATCAGGCCTTCCTTTGAAAAAACCAAGGATCCAATATCGCCATCAATTCATGTTCAGGCTGCTGTTCTTCCCATCTGGCCTGGGAAAGAAGTAGAGGATGGCCCAAAGCCTTGGGACCCTGCATCCACTTGGGAGACCTGGAAGAAGCTCTTGGCTTCTGGCCTCACATCTGCTCCTCTCCAGCCATGGAAGCCATTTGGGGAGAGAATCATGAGATGAAAAACCTTTCTGTCTCCTTATGTTTGTAAATCTGCCTTTCCATAAAAATAATTACATCTTCTAGAAAAATTAAAAACAAATAACGGAAATGCTCAAAACTATAATGGTCACTCTGTATTACGGGTACTGCATTCAGAAGCACCAGTCAATGACCACAGTATTATGTCCCTGTGTTTAGAGGACAGAGTTGTAATGTACTTTAGATTTTGCTTGCTTTGCATCAACTGCCCCGGGACACACATACAGATGGCTGATGTGGATGGAGGCAGGTGCATAGTCTGCCATATTAAGTGATGAAGTTGATTCTGATTAAGTGCAATTAATACCCAAAAACTCCCTTTAGACATGCAAGTCTTTAGAGTTACAGAATTGTTATACTAGAGTTTTCCAGTGCAGTTGTTGCTTAGAAGTGGAGACAGATTTTTGGGGGGCAGGGAGGTCTCTTCCCACTCTCCCATTTCTAGAATCCTCTTCAAGGTTCTCTCATTTATTGTTTATTATTATTTTAAAAAATTGATTTGGATATATACGCCTTGGTTTGTTTTTGCTTTAATTGGGTGGGCTTTTCTTACATTTGTCCTTGTAGGCAAAACTGTTTTTCAGTGATTTTTAATGAAATTATATACATCACTGTGTATTCAGATTTTAGATAAAGAAAGGAATTCAGGATCTCCAAATTTTTCAGTAGATTTAAATAACTACTGAAATATAATCATGATTTTAGCTGTACTCAAGTATGGGAATCTACATAGTATTTCACAATATTTTACATAAGTTTTAAATATATTACTTGAGATATTTAGCAAATACATTTCCTATTATTGTTGACAATACTGATGAATACAATAATTTGTTGATGAAAGTTGATTAGCAAAATCACAAAAGTGAATGATAAAAAGTATTCTAATCCAATACCCACATCATTATCTCAAAACTTCAACAATTCTGTTCTTTGTTCTCTGTCCTGATTTTTGAGTGTCAGATAAAGTAGCTTTTCATGACAAAATTTGCAAATTTTTCTTAGCAATTTGTTTCACACAAATTGCTGATCATCGCTGTAAGTAAATTCTTTCTACCTATTGTCTGTCCATTAAATTTCTTATTATATTGAACTTAATTTTACTCTGATACAAAAAGGACTTTAAATGTTTAGATAGTGAACATGTGATCGAAATATGATAATATTTATTTTTATCACATCTTTCATTAGCTCCCTATGTATGGCCATGTAAATGATAAAATGTAGCATAGACAGTCTAAAAAAAACAGTTACTGAAAATCCACATATTGCAATGCTTCGAAATAAGGATAAGCAAAGTTGTGAAGAGGGTGGATCGAAGAATAACAAATGATTTTTAAACATTCAGGAAAGACTACATTATTTATTTATCCTTAAAACATTTTTCGGTCTAGGAGAACTAAAATTTATCTTCTCTATAATTGTGGACCCATCTAAGCCACTTAGACCCATCAGGATTACTCAGGATTCTAAAATGCTGCTTCAAAGTACTGTGCAATCAATGAAACTCGTTTCCTAAGTGCTGAAGATATTTATCTGCAAAATCCAACTCTCCTCCCCACACCCTGGCTTCTGCTAAAATGATTCCACATAAAAGGGGTCCTGATATAGCAAGACTGTTAGAATGCAATTTTGTGATTTTGCGTTAATGACAACTACAACAGTAGGCAGATTTCATTTTCTGGATACGTTGGAGAAGAAGGCTGGTCTCAATTATCTGTTCTGCTAAAATAAATGTTAGAACACCTTCCCTGACACAAAATGTGACTGCTTCTTAAAAACCTTGTTGGAAAAATGAATAATAAGCTGTCGTTCCAGGTAAAAAACATGAATCCATTAATGTAACAAACTTCTTTTTTGGAGCACAAAGACTGTGAGACTCTGCATGTGCTTTATATTATTCTACAAACTCTTTTCCAGAGAGCATACTCACCCCATCTGGCCTGCCATCTGAAGCTGTGACAATCAGGATGTAGCGATCTGTGCTCTCCCTGTCCAGTGCCTTGCCTAATGATAGAATCCCAGTCCTGGTGAGAGAGCAGAGAACATAAATAAGACACAAAAAAAGTGAGAGCTACAGAGAGAAACTTCCTGCTATAGTAAATTACTTCTGGCATTTTTAAAAAATCTTTACTTGTTCTTACCTAATTATTTGAGATGCACATGTTAGGGTTTACAATGGAAATGGAGAATGTTTTAGTAATAATGATTTGTAAAACAGAGTAAGTTAAATGAAATGCTTCTCCAGACTTCCGGAAAAAAATGCAGAACAAATCACCCTCATTAAAAAGAAAACTAACTTCCTTGTAAATACTGTAATAATACTGCTGAATTTCTTAATTCTTCAGTGGTTTTACCATTCTTTAGGAATGGTTTCTTAAAACTAATATATAACAGAGAGATAAAACAAAGAAATCAACAATATTGTGAAGTTAAATAACATACTACTGAATGATTAATGCCTCATTGAAGAACTGAAAATCAAGAACCTTCATGAAGAAAATGATGCTGCTGTATGAGCTACGAGTCACTGAATAATTTAATCAGAAGAAAATGTGTGGAAGAGAACAAACTAATAAAAAAATCAAAATCTATGAAATATAGTTTTCTGATTTTTGTTGATGAAATGTGTCTCTTTCAGGCAACAAATAAATGGGTTTTGTTTTTCAATCCAGTCTACTAATCTATGACATTTGGTTGATGAGTTCAAGCCATTTACATTCATGGTTAATATAAATGGATGGTAATTTGGTCCTGTCATTTTAGCAACAGGCTGTTCACTGTTTTGTGGCTTTTCCTTTAAGGGGATGTATGGTAACTGTGTAATGGAAACTATCATATCTAGTAGCATGTTATTTAACTTAATTTCTATTTTTCTTTGTGTTGTTGAATTTGGATTGTGGCTTTTCATTTAAGGGATGTATTGTAACTGTGTAATAGAGACTATCATATCCAGATGGGAGGATACAATGCAGTATGCATCTCTACTTCCAGACAAAATAGACTCCCACTGAAACTGTTTACTATGTCTTGACAATAGGATGCTGGACTCTCTGTCATTGTCCATGTGTGCAATGATGGACATATGACTGTGTATGAAGAACTATACTATAATTACGATATAGGGGAACTCAGTGACCAGGGAGAGAATCGAGGAGGGGAAAAGGGAATTCCCAGGGCCTGTGGGATTTTGTCTTAAAATGATCATAATAAATAAAGTAAAATTTTGAAAAAGCTAATATATAACATTTTCCAATTTATTATCACATATATGTCATTACAAAAAATAGAACATTTAAATTCCATCTTTGACAAACCCTAAAAATACAACTACTTTTCTTCTCAACAAACTTAAAATAATACAGTGTTATTGCAGCATATTGTAATATATGTAATGTATGTGTGGTATACAATATATGTAACATATTTCAAATTTGTAATCATTGTGATCTTTTCATATAAATACTTTGGATTTACATGTATAACCATGTTTAAATATATAAATAAGAGAGTAATACAACTTTATATTTCATATTTTTTTTTAAAGATTTATTTTTATTATTTTTTCATTGGAAAGGCAGATATACAGAGAGGAGAGACAGAGAGGAAGATCTTCCATCCGATGATTCACTCCCCAAGTGAGCTCAACGGGCCGATACTATGCCGATCCAAAGCCAGGAGCCTCTTCCAGGTCTCCCACGTGGGTGCAGGGTCCCAAAGCTTTGGGCTGTCCTCGACTACCTTCCCGGGCCACAAGCAGGGAGCTGGAAGGGAAGCAGGGCTGCCGGGATTAGAACCGGCGCCCATATGGGATCCCGGGCGTGCAAGGCGAGGACCTTTAACCACTTGCGCCACCGCGCCGGGCCCTCATATTCTTTTTAGGAAAACTATGTGAATTAGGATTCTTTATCTCACAATTCATAGAAACAAAGTTTTGGATACATCAAGAATCTGAAAATTCGGGAGGTTCTTAACTTGCATGTAATGGAAGAAAATATGCATAATGGAATATTATTCAGCTAGAAACAATATTGAAATTCTATTATTTGCATCAGAATGGATGCAGCTGGAGGACTCATGTTTTATGAAATAAGCAGGAAATAATATTAAATGTTCTCTCGTTTGTGGGCTCTAAACAAAGTAAAAAAAAATCCCTAGTCATCTCAATTCTGTTGCAAATACAGTATTTTGTGAAACTTTATTTCAAACTATTGTCAAATTGTCAAAAATCATTTCACTATGGTTTGATTCTTGACTGCTTGATTACACTGCATATGAGTAAAACAGAATCTTGTCATTTTATTATTGCTAATAGTCATTATATTCTGCTGAACTTGGGTCATTTTAGTTATTTGCTGATTGCTTTGTTAGTGCAAATTAATTTGCTTTATCATGCAAATTAAAAACATTATCTGTAAAAATTTTTCAACTGCAGCTTTAAAATAACTCTGGGAAATCAACATTTAGAATAGTTTCATTTTAACATTGAGAAAATTTAAATGGCTTCTTATCTTTCCACTATCTATAACAAATTGTGTTAACAGTCTGATCATTTGCACTTATTGCAGAATAATCTAACATTGTTATTTACATGGTTTTCGAATTGGGTCCAACAAGTATCTCCTGTGGGAAATCATCCCGGGTCTCTGCCTGCTGCCTGGTGGGTGCGACCAAGAGCTTGTCTTATCTAGGGTGTGACTTCCAATCCTGCATATAGATGTGACCTGATATGATTGCAAGGTCAACAGAATTAGGCTTGGGTGAATCAAAAGTGGCTAATTGTTGGCAATAGAAGTCCAGGGTAACAAAATCAGCATCCGACAGTTCTCTCCAGAGCAAAGCATTCAGTCAAGCCTCCAATGAATGGGGTCTCACCTAGACCCAAGGATGATTTCCCACAATTGCCCACGGAACAGAGTACTGCTCAGTGTAATAAAATATAAACATATTTGGTAAATATAAAAACTTGGCTGTTTTTTAATTAATAATATTTTCATTTTAATGTCCATACTTTTGAGAATACTGAGAATAAGGGATGTTAATTTATTCATTCTACATACGGTAAGTTCAAAATCCAAGAAAATGAATGAAAATCAGAATCACATTTATTGTATTTGATTGTGTTGTGCCTGTCAATATGGACGCAAGTTCTAAACATATGGTGGAAGCAAAAAATAACTGGCTTGGTTGTTTGTAATTTTTAAAATATTTTGTCAAAATAACTGAAAAACAATTCCCAGAGCCTGTTCATAATAATCAGGTTTGGATGAGCTTCCTACAACACAGATGGTTCAAATAATCTCATTCCAAAATGAGTTTGAGGAAGAAGAGTTTGACAGCTATTGCTTGTAAGACACTGTTCAAGTAGGTTAAGAAACCTGAAGGTTCAAAACCCAGTTACTATTTTCTGTTTCCCCTGCATGGTTTAATATCTGTTTAATCTTATAATACTCCTTGTATACAGAAAAAACACTAGAAATGTATCTAGTACTGCTACTTAGAACCACAATTTACATAAACAGCTGTTTTTCACATTCTGGTGATTATGACAGATATAGATCTGGGCTTACTTTGTGACCCAATATTGTCGGCAGTTGGATGGCATATTTGAGAGATCAACAAGGAAGGAAACAATAAGAAAAGTCTTTTTAAAAATTAATATTTATCAATTTATTTTGAAAGAGTTACAGAAAGAGATAGAAACACCAATTGTCACAGCAGCTAGATCTGGGACAGACTGACATCAAGATCCAAGAGCTTCATCTGGCTCTCTCACAGAGGTGTGGTATACCAAATGAGGAAGCTAACCTTCACTGCATTACTGAGGTCATTATCAAGGAGCAGGAGGGACAGAAACCAGAGCCGATACAGAAAGTTGGCAATGCAGGTGGCTTTATGTGCTATACCACCTTCTAGAAATCAAAGTAAATGAATAGAAATTGGAGTCATATTTGATACTGCTGCTGACAGACAAGTTTTCAGATGTAATTGAGAATCCTTTTAAAGCATCCTGGAAATAACTGCGGATGAGTCTTGTTTTTTTTTTTTTTTTTTAGATTTATTTATTGTTATTGGAAAGAAATTTTCAGAGAGAAGAAGAAACAGAAAGACCTTCTGTCTGCTTGTCCACTGCCCAAGTGGCCACAATGACGAGCTCAGCCAATCTGAAGCAAGGAGCCAGGAACTTCTTCTAGGTCTCTCACAAGAGCTGCAGGGTTCCAGGGCAAGGCTTTGGTCCATTCCCTCTGCTTTCCCAAGGCACAAGCTAGGAGCTGGATGGGAAGTGGAGCAGCCAGGACATGGGCCAGTGTCCATATGTGATTCCTGCGCCATGCAAGATGAGGATTTAGTCACTGAGCCATTGTGCCATACCCTGATGAGGTGTCTTAAAACCAGGTGGGTAGAATCTATTAGGCTGGGGTACATTGGGCTGTCTTGGGAGATGCCATACACATTGCATGATTTTCCATTTTTTTTAAAAAAAGAATTTTTCCTAAAATATCCAAAACGGTGCTACTTAAATTTAGTGTTGAAAAACACGACGCAGGAATGATGTCACTAAAAATGGTGAGGCAGGCAGCTCCAATAAATAGACTCACCACAAAAACAAAAAAGGATAAATGACAGGTAGATTACATCAACAAAATGCAGTGAGGATCAAGCAGAAATCAAGGTGAAAACAGCAAGGAATGTCATGTTTTTCCTGTTTTTCTGTGCTATTCTTTGACTAGATCAGAGTTTTCTTGAAGACAGCATTCAGCATGATACCCAGGTCATGGTTCAGGGAAGAGCTTTCTTTCTGTGCACATGAAGCTTTGTGGTGGTCTATTGTAGTCTGTCTTGGGCTGTGTAAATAAATGATGCATAACAATAGCATTTGTCTTTGTTTCATGGAATCAGAACTTGAAGTAGAAAAACACTAGAATTCTTTTAATACCTTGTAAGTCAAAAGAACAACAGCCTGTCATCTATGGCAAAAAATTAATGTCAAAGTGCATAGTAGGGTAATAATAATATTATTATAGGGTAATAATATTTATCACTAAGAGGAAATGTTTTCCAAAGTGCACATTTTCTAAAAATATATGAGGAGTCTTAACAGTTTTGCCCTAAATAAGATACTTGGACCCATTACTAAGAAAAATCAGGCTAAGCCCCTGCCTGTGGCACTAGCATCCCATTCGGGCACTGGTTCTAGTCCTAGCAGCCCAATTTCTGATCCAGTTCCCTGATGATATGCCTGGGAAAACAGCAACAAGATGGCTCAAAATGTCAGGCTCTTACACCCGTGGGGGAGACCTGGAGGACGCTCCTGGCTTCTGGCTTGAGACATGTCCAGCTATAGCCTTGGTGGCCATTTGGGGACTAAGTAGGTTATGGAAGATGTCTGTTTCTCTCTGTAGCTGTTTCAAATAAAGATAATTTTTAAATCAAAGGAGAGTACTTCAAAAAGCTTGTGGAAAGAGTTTTAAAAATTTTGCTTGTTTTGGTAAAAACAGAAAACCCTTTGAAGAATGCTCATATATGATAACTTTGTCTTTTTTTTTTTTAACAATTCTAAGTGTATGTGAAGCAGTAAATCTGTATGGCTTTTAATTTATATCTCCCTGATTATGAGACTTATGACCAGGAGGAAGCTTTCATGTGCTCATTAATCATTTGTGTGTCTATTATAGAGATGTCAATTCAAATATTTTATTCACCTTTAACTGGATTATTTTTCTCTTTATTGTTATACCATATTTTTTTTAATGTATTCTCAGTCCATGTTTTGTTTTTTAGAGCTAAAAATGCTTTCTAAAAATAGCACCTGTAAATAGCACCTCAAACAGCCTGTATCACATACAATAAGATATTGTGATGTAACCAAGGAACCAATAATCAATGAGAGCCAGACTGCTTATGATCTACATCAAAAAACTGAAAAGCCTGATATGCTTTTAATACCTAATGTTATTCCACAATGGGTCAGGAGAGCAATCTTCCACCATCTTAGAGTGTGTGAGGAAGATGTTAAGTATAACCTATCAAGATTTATTTAGATTTTCCTGAGATCAATGCAGTGGTTAGCATATTTGTTGAAATATTTACTATTCAGTTGTATATTAGGTTTATATTCTCATTCCTTCAGGGAGTAAAATCCCTCACAATCACAAAGAACATATTAGAGTATAGCAAGAACTCACATGTGACAGCAGTACAACTGCAGCTTGATTTTACAGTGAATAAGCAAATGATCTTGGTAGACCCTGACACTTCCTTTCTATTCCCATTTCTACTTCTCCTGATTTACATTGTGTCTGACATGTTCAAAGAGATCAGTGCAATGTCATGAGTTCTGAATGCCAAGAAGCCTAGAATGGTTATGCATGCTGTTTTGTCTTTCTCCTCTTCTTTGCTCTCCCCTCCTCTTCTCTCCACTTCCTGTTCCCTTCCCTTCCCTTCCCTCCCATATTCTCTTCTCTTCCTCCCTCTCCCCTCCGCTCCCCTTCCCTCTTCTTTCTCCTTTACATATTTTATTTTAGCCTGTGTGAATACGAAGGATAGATATTTGCAGCACCTTCAATATGTTTATAACAAACGTAGCCTTACAATTTCACTTTTTTTTAGAACTGTCCTTGTCACAAAAAGGTGACAATTTTAAGGGGTCCTAATTAATCTCACATTACACATGCAAATAAAGTGTTTCCACCTTGGTGGATTTTACATAGTGCAAGTGCTTACAAGAAATGCATGGTTTTCTGTGTGCTTTTTTTTTTTTGGTTAAGCATTATCCTCCTCTCATTAACATTCATAGAAAACACAGAAAGACACACAAACAGCTGAAGGCCTCTGATTAAAGTCTTCTCTTGTTAAGAACACTGTATTCAAGTTTTAATAAGGGAAAAATCAAGGTAGAAATAATTTTCAACTCACGTTTCTGAAAGATTGAAAACTCGTTGAGGATCTCCATTCTCAATGGCATATGTTATTGCGTCTCCTTCTCGGTCAGTTGCCTTCAGAGAGAAAAGAAATTTCAATTACCATGTAGTTTATATGGCTACTATTCAGTATAAAATAATAGAGAAGCTTAAAGTTAGTAGCAAAAATTAACCATTATACTCTGAATAAGATTAAAGTATTGCTTAGTAGCAAGCTTTTACTAAAATAAGTAATTTAATATCTGTTCCCCAAAGATTTTCTATATGTTTATAAAATCTTATTGTGAGAAATATAGTGATAATTTCCCAAAGTATTATTTATTTAAGTTCCTGAGCTTTATTTTTTTCTGTCTACAGTTTAAACAATGCTTTCTATATTAAAAAAACACAAATTATAGTATCAAGAAACTTTTTTCTTTGTATGCTTAGAATATGTTAATATAGGGCAGACATACTTGAGTACATTTCCATCTACTCCATGTTTCTGATCTAGCTTTCAGCTGACACGCCTGGAAGTCAGTAAATGAAGGTCTGAACACTTGGTTTCTCTCACCCACATGGGAGACCCAGGTGAAGTTCCTGGCTCCTGACTTGTCTAATATAGTTCTGGAACCCACAGACATTTGTAAAATTAACTAACACCTCTCTATCACTCTCCCTTTGCCTCTTCCTCTCTCCTGCTATCATTCTGATATTTATATAAGTAAATCTTAGAGGAAAAGTAGCACAGCAAGATAATAATTCAACTTAGCTTTATGGTTAAGTATCTCAAATCTGTAGACAAAGAGACTGAATTTAAAAACTAAACCCCATTTATTTACTGTGTGATTATTTTTCAATGTCTTCCTTTAGAACATTTTAATAGACATTGAAATGCTCAGTTGCAAAAGTATATGATATGGCACATCAATACAGGAGCAAAAGATTATTTCAATCTCATAGTTAACTGATGAAGATATTGAGGAACTGCCATCCAATGAATTCTAAAAGTTGTTATAAAACACTTTAAAAATAGTGAGAAGTACATATAAGATTCTAAATAAATTAAACAATACATGACATAGGAAATAGCAACACTGAAACAAAATCAAATTGAATTGTTAGAAATGAAGACTTCAATACAACAAATTTAAAAATACAGTAGAATATCTCTGTAATAGAATAAATCAGGCCAGAGAAAGAATTTCATATTTGGAAGATACTACATGGAAAAATGTCCAAACGATCAGAAATTTGAGAGAGGAACTGAGTAAAGCTAAGAAAATCATACAAGAATTATGGGACGCCATCAACATATCAAACAAGAGTCATAGGAATTCCTGAAAATTTGGAAAGAGAGGTTGGGTTGAAAGATGTATTCAACAAAGTAATAAATTAGAACTTCCCCAGCATGCAGAAAGGAAAAGGGATTCAAGTTTAGGAAGGACACAGAACCCAAAATAAACCTGACCAGAAATGATTCTCACCTTGGCACATAATAACCTGACTCTCTTCAGTTCAACATAAAGATACTTAAGTAGCATGAAATATATAACTTTTAGAAGGACACTAATTAGACTCATGGCTGACTTGGTAGAGGAAATTCTACAGGCCAAAAGAGAATGGAATGATTATTCAAGATGCAGACATCTTGTTACCATCATGGAGTGAAAGTGGCAATCAACAAGTCACAAGGCCTCAGAAGATATGCAAATACTTGGATACTGAACAAATGCTGCTAAAAGAACAATGATTTATAGAATAAGTAAGAAAAAACAACATTTGGAATGAATAAAGGCATCAACACAACATACCAGGACATGTGAGACACAGTCAAGGCAGTGCTATGGGATATGTTCATTGCAATTAGTGCCTATATGAAGAAACTAGAAAAGTGCAAAAAGAATCGAACAATACTTGAATTGGATCATTCAGCCATAGCAGGTGGATTTGTCCTTGGCATTCAGGGATAGTTTAACTACAAAAATCAATGAAGGAAATAGACCACATCAATAAATTGAAGAAAAAAAACCCCACCATATTATCAACCAATAAATGCCAAGAAGGAATTTGATATAAATCCAGCACCACTTTATGCTAAAAATCCTAAGCAAGATAGGCATAGAAAGAATATTATATAACACAATCAAAGCGATTGATGAAAAGAAAAACAAGGTCATGATCACACTCAACAGAGAAACACTGAAGCTTTCAGAGTAAGAGATGGACCAGACAAGGTGTCCACTTTCACTACTGCTATTCTACACAGTACTGGAAGTTCCTCACTAAAACTATCAGGAAAGAAAAAAATAATAAAAGGAATTCAAACCAGAAATGAGAAATTAAAAGTATCCTTATTTGCAGGGACATTATTCTACACATAGGAGAACCAAAAGAATTGGAACTCATGAGTTTGGCAGGGTATGAAATCAATGCATTGATGGCCCTCCACGGTAGAAAAAGAAGTTATAAGAACACTTTCCTTTAAAATATTGGAGAGGAACCTTAAATACATTGAAATAAATATAACCAAATATGTGGAATACCCCTATGATGAAAACTAAAAAATATTAAAAAAAGAAATCATTAAATGATGAAGAAATGTACTAGATTGGTACAATCAACATCATGAAAATGCCCATATTACTGATCAATATCAATGCCATTACAATCAACATATCAACATTCTTCTCAAAGCTTGAAAATATTATACAAAAGTTCATCAGTAGGCCTAGTGCTGTAGCCTAGTGCCTAAAGTCCTTGCCTTGCATGCTGTGGTTCATGTACCAACTGCTCCACTTTCTATCCCGCTCCTTACTTGTGGCCTGGGAAAACAGTTGAGGACGGTCCAAAGCCTTGGGACCCTGCACCCAGATGGGAGCCCTGGAAAAGGCTCTGTGCTCCTGGCTGAGGATCAGCTTAGCTTCAGCCATTAGGATCACTTGGGGAGTGAACCAGTGAATGGAAAATCATTATCCCTGGGTCTCCTTCTCTGTAAATCTGTCTTTCCAATAAAAATAAATCAATCTTAAAAGCAAAGAAGTTCATCAGGAAACAGGAGAGAACATGAGTAGGCAAAGCTATATTGAAGAATAAAAATAAAGGTGGAGGAATCACAATTTGAGACCTCAAGACATGCTACAGGGCCGTGGTCATCAGAACCGTCTGGTGCTGGTAGAGAAACAGAGAAGATCAATAGAACAAAATAAAAACCCCAGAAGGGAGCCCACACATATATAGCCAACTCAGCTTCAACATCAGAACTGAAAATAACTAGGGGAAATGTTGGTCTCCTCAAGAAATATTTTTGTGGCAATTGGTATCAGCCTGCAGAAGTGAGAAGCAAGATACAGATATTTCACGTAACACAAAAATCAGCCCTAAATGGATCAAGGACTTCAATCTGCACCCAGAAACTATAACACTGCTAGATGAAACCTTAGGAAGCACTCTTCAAGATACAAGCATTGGTAAAGAGTTCCTAGAAAAGATACCAAAATTATAGGCTGTCAAAGCCAAGATAAACAAATGGGACTGTACCAAAATAAGAAGCTTCTCTACAGCAAAGGAAACGATCAACAATTTGAATAGGCACCTGACCCAATCACACTATACAGCTGATAGGGGACTAATACCCAGCATTCACAAAAAGCTTCAGAAACTGAATGGCAGGAAAACAACCTTGTGAAGAAAAGGGGCAAAGGAAATGAGCAGGCGTTTTTTAAAAAAGTATGTTCAAAGGACCAATCGACGTATGAAAATATGCTCAGGCTCCTACCCATTAGTAAAACACAAATAAAAACCAAATTGAGGTTCCACCTAAATCCTGGGAGAATGGCCTATATTTAGCACTCTATCAACAACACCTCCTGGCAGGGATGTGGGGAGAAGAGTACACTCCTTCACTGTTGGTAGGAGCGTCGTCTAGTACCACCACTGTGGAAGCCAGCATGGAGAGTGCAAAGAGAACTGAACGTTGACCTGCCAAAAGACCCAGGTATCCCACGCCTGGGAATGTATCCAATGGAAGTGAAATCTGTATATGAGAAAGTAACCTGCAACCTTATATTGGCAGCAACACTATTCACAACATCAAAGACAAGGAAATGCCCACTGGAAGAGGAATGGATAAAGAAACTGGGGTATATCTACTTCACAGAATACTAATTTTAAAAGAATGAAATTTTACCATTTTTAACAAAATGGCTTCAACTGGAGGCCATTACACTCAATGAAATAAGCCAAACCCAAAAGGAAAATAATTATGTATTCCCTCTGATATAAGGCAATATTAATGCAAAACACAAAGCAAATAGATATATAGGTAAGCATGTATATATATGTATTCTCATAGATGAACTATATAACGGAGACTTGCATACCGGGAAGTGAAGATATGTTGCAATATTAAACTCTACTCCTGAATAATAGGAGGACTCCCAATAAAACTGTTAAACATACCTTGACAATGGGGTACTAGATTTTTCTGCCACTGTCTATACCGGCAATGGCATCATATACTTAAATAGCTGAATGTTGGTCCTGTGACTGGGTGAAGGGCTGTACTATTGTAATACTATATAGGGAAAATGGTGGTGGTTTGAGAATAAGGATGGAGGAAAGGAAGTTAGAGGATGGACTACATACACCTGCAAAACCTTATGGAACATAACAACAACAAAAAAATACAAGAGAAAAAAGGCCAAAAGAGATGTCCCCTGCCCATCCCCTCCCTTCCCCTTTTCCTCCATATGGTCTCCTGTGCCCCTCCTCCTCTTTTTCTTAAACGAATATTTTAAAAATACATACAGCCAGATAAATAGAATGATAGATGTAAATGTTTTCCTAAAGTTTTCTATCCTTTGGTAGATAAGTAAAAAAGACAAAAGAGATAAACAGATCATCATAGCTAACTTCTGGAAGAAAGACAACATTGTCCTGTATCTAGCAGACTATTTTACCATCAAAGAACTTACGTTATTTTTGTTTGCGATTCACTTTCAGTGGGTCATTTTTACTTGTTATTTTGTTGGAGAGATTACCAAGTTCTTTTGTTTGAAATACAGTTTTGTGTTTTCACTTTTTTGAGATAATGT